TTAAGATTTGTAAGCCATTGTTGCAGACAATGAAGATAACAATTTGAGAAATAAGTGCAGTAACTAACACCAGTAAATATATACTACATTTAATAAAGCTTTTATGTTTTATTCCTTAAATTACAAATTTGTATTAAGTTTTTTATTTTTATTTTATATGTGTATACATATCAATGCGTGAATGGTGTGATACCTGAGTAGCCCTCTTATTTCTATCTCTGTTTTAACATTTCCCCCCCTCCATCATTATTATGTTCAAAGATGTGATAATAACATTTCATTTCTGTTTTCCATCCTCCATCTGTTTTGTTATTCGTGTTTCTATTATTTACCTTTTCACATCTGTTTATATTAAATTTCCATCTTTTCTTTCATTATTCAATATCTCAATATACATTTCTGGTACCAATAACAATGATTTAAAGCATTTAAAATATATGTATTTCATTTTTTATAATACCATCATTCAAACCTTAATTTTCAATTAAAACTTAATTCTTATTCATACATATATTCATGTCCTTTCCAATCCTCTAGTCCATATAATTCTACTATTAATAATCATGTTGACATTAAAATATATTCTTTCATTATCTAATTACCTTTTGTTTAATTCTAGCATTTCACTACTACTCATATACTTATATAATTCTAATATCACACATTATTGAACCACTTTCATGAAATATTTTTTACTTTATTTTCCCTCTCATTTTTCCTTATCTAACATCTCTTGCCCCCATCCAAATGTTTAGTCTTCTTTTTTGGGGGGGTGTTGCCCCCCATATTCTTCTTTTAGATCTTTTAAGCCTTTTAATTCATCTGCCTCTAAATCTATAATTTGACAATACATTCTGGCTTTCTCTCCCCTCTCCATCTTTGCCCACTGTATAGTTTTAAAGCTATTTGTTCTAACTCTGTCTCTTTCCCCAACTATCTTCCTGTTTCTTCCATTCCCTTTTCAAATCTTTTAAGATATTTTCCTCCTGTTTTAATTCCCTATTAATTTTAACATTATCTCCTCATTGTTGTCTTCTTGTTGCTTTCTTGGTTCTGCTGTCTCCTCCACTTCTTCTGATAGTCCATTCTTTCCTCATTGTCCTGGTCTTTATTCGTTGTTCCTTGTATTATATTTTCCCAGTTTTGGTCTATACGATCAAATATTTGCATCATCTCCTTATGTTGTTCATATATAAGATCCTTAATGTTTGATACATCAGCTCTATTCTGTTATCTCCACTTAATTCCATCTTGCGTTACGTTTTTGCTTAACAAGTCTCCTTTTGAGTCAATTGTTTAGAAATTTTTAAAATCACAATTTTAACTGTCAAATCAACAAGTAGTCAATCCAATTTAGAAAGAAAACCAAGGGGTTATCCACATCTCTTGCAATCACTTTTATTTGTTCAACAATATTTAATGGTCTCTTGGCTAAATTTCTTATTTGATATATAAATCTCCAATGGTTTTAAAGTAAATACTTGCAATCCAACAAATATAAATGATTATTCCCAGGGTTGCACAGTTCTCCTTTTAGCAGCAGATGGTGCTCTAGTTTAAACTTGCCACAGGCTCTCTGTGTTATTGCTGACAATTTCGATTTTAATTATTTTAAATTGTAAATCCAATAAGTGGGCTAACTTAATAAAAAAAGCTAGGGATCTAATTCCAGCATTAACAATGCCTCTTCGATACCACATCTTTTACTTTGAGAGTTCAATTTTCTTTTTCTTATTTTTTTAAAATTCTGTTCTTAATTCCTCCGGTATTTTTTTTAACGCGCTTATCTGCTGCTGGCAAATCGTTCTAATTATGTTTCCCCCTTAGATTCATTGGGGTCATTTTTCAATAAAATGTGGGTGTTGGTTCTTACTTGATACGCCCCTTCTCTGGGCAGGTGGAGACAGCGATCATGCATGGGTTAACTCAGTCAGTAACCAATAGAAGTGAGTCTATCAAAGTGATGTCATCGCCTCTGAGGAGCATGCTCCCGCATTTTTAGACTCAGTTCAATTGGAACTGGCTGTGCTAATCGCTTTCTCCTCAACTATTTCTTAACAATTGAATAGTTTAATTGAATTTAATTGGATTTCTCAAAATAACAAAGGAAATTGGTCTTTCTAAATTGATTCTCTGGTCTGGGCTCCTGTAAGGTCTCTCAATAGCCTTTGGGGCTGGAGAGTGCTTATCGCGCCTAATTGCAGGCTTGCCTGTGAAAGCCTCGGGCTTCTGCGGCTTCGTATTTCAGCAGAACCAGCAGAACCAGCTGAAATAGTCATGGAGGCTCTAATCTCCTCAGCAGGGAAATTCCAGGCCCCTGCCTTGCCGCCGGCACCACTAATTGCCACCTCCACCTCCAGGAGCCTCTGAACGCTATGGGGAGCCTCATTACGGCCGCAAAGAGCCGCCTGTCACTGAAAGAACAATGTGACTGCCTCTGCGCCTCCCTATCATTGTTCTGGCATTGCTCTACATGTCCGCTTTTTCCCTGGCTCCTAGGCCTCTCCGCAGGGCCCACTCTCACTGCAAGGCCTCGGTTACCTCATGGCGCCGGCCCCATAGGCTCTGTAGCCTCAGTGGCCATTAAATTTGGTGCGAAGGTCATTTTGAGTCAAGGAAATGCTCCAGAACAGTCTTAGGTGTTCAGACCATCCCCAGCTTCATGGAAGACATGTTTGCTGCTGTTTCTCCTAGTCTTCAGATGAGGGGGCTTTTTTAGTCAGGGAGGAGAGATGCGGCTCTCATCAACCTGTCAGGCAGTCCCCCTTTACTTCACCACCTCTCCAGGGTGGCTATGGCTCAATTTGAGCCCTCCGATGAGGAGAGGTTGGAGCCGGGCTGCAGAGCTTGCAGTCCTCACTTCTGAAGGCGCCGGAAGTACAACTGGAAGTCTGAGAAATTACAATTTTAATATTTGCTTCATTGTTTCATATCTTTTCTGGGTGAATATGGAATCTTTTGTCATTGCTCTTGAACTTCTCATTGGAGTTTTAAAAGGCAGCACAGATATGCCAATATTTACAGCATCTTGACTATAAATATGAAAATTATTCATTAATATACCTAGTTGCTTGCAGTTATTACAATCTAGGGATGCACATGACTTTTCATGTGAAATATGGAAACAAGGGAAATATTCTCATTGGTAAATTATTAGCTAATAATTTTTCCTTAAGCCAGAATCATCAGATACATATACAGCTAAATTCATATTTTAACATCATGAAGGGACTCATTTCCTTCTTATGTAGCACCTGAGGATTTCTTCTACCAGCAGGTTTAGAGTCTGTGTAAAGCAAGATGGGTGCATTTCAAAACAAATTATTCTCTACAAAATAAAAGTCCTATTTGGGTCCATTGGAAGCAGAGAGTTATAAAGCAGGACAAAGCATTTCATATTCCATCCATCCATCCATCCATCCATCCATCCATCCATCCATCCATCCATCCATCCATCCATCCATCCATTCATCCATCTGTCCGTCCATCCGTAGAATTCTCTTCATTCTAATTTAATTTGTTGATATTATTATGTAATGACATCTTTTTAGTGGTGGTGGGAGACAGGAACACCTCAGGAAGACATCCCTTTTTTAAAATTAAAAAGTATTTTCAAAAACACACAATAAGAAAAGAAACAGCTTTCAATAGATACCAGTGAATGAGAAACAAAAGAAGCAGGGATATGTTTTGAAATTATTTGCCCTGAAAGCTTCTACTTTTGCCTCTTGTTCATTAATATTTAGTACAGTCTAAGGAAAGTGATTTTAGCTCTTTTTAACACAAGAATTATATGAAGAGATATAAAGCAGAGTAGTGGAGAATCACTAGCTATAGACTTTTTAATAAAACAAGCCCCTTGGAATTAAGATACTAAGAGCTTTGAAAATACATGTTTAATCTCAGGCTTTCAACCAAGCAATGCCAATTGCATATTTAAAAGAAGGTGATATTCCGATGATAATGTTGGGGAGCTCAGAAATGAGCCTGAATAATTTCTGGCTCAGATTGAGCTGTTCAAAGTGTTCAAAAAACCACAGACCTGGGACCAGAGTGATCCTTTCAGCTCCTGTTTAAAATATTAGTAGATACTGTTCTTTCAATCAAACAAAAAGAAAAGGGTTGGCATCTTTTATTTAAACTTGTCTGAGCCAACTCATACCGTACCAACCTTTTGAATCCATACTGAATACCATTTGCTGGGGGTAAGTAATGCCTATCCTATGGAAATCCTCCAGAATAATAAATATATGGTCCAAGGTGAATCAATCACAGTGTTTCTTAAATTATTGCAAGCCATATAGTTCTGTGCTTTGGAGTACAAAACATCTCAAGCCATTATAGCCCCAATTTCATGCTTTATAATTATGATATTTTAATTTTGTTTGCTGCTCAAAGTCATTTGTTAAGGGTGGATATATAAATTGGATCAATCAATCAATTCATACATAAAAATAATAAATTAGGATGATGTTCTTTTGTTTCATTTTGTCTAAATACATCATTTTACATTTTGCCAAGAAGTTTGCCAATAAAATATTGTTCTAATAATTGCTGTATTATTTATACGATCCTTTGGCAAAATTGAAATAGCTGCTCCATATAGTCCAACAGAGCTATTTGGATCATATCCAGAACCCATCCCCACTTCTGATCCTTGACCAGAAAGAAGATAATTTAAAGCCAGGGTGACTTGTATGTGTGTGCTTTTGTAAAAGCAATTGTAAAATATATTGAACAATACCATAAAACTCATACCTTCCCCCAAATGTTAAATCTGTTCCCTACAATGATAGCATAACACAACTGTGATATTTCTGTGGCCTCTGGGCACGTATGGATCATAACTAGAAAAAGAATTGCCCACTAGCAGAAGTGTGAAATTGACACACAAAGAAGAGGTTGAGAAAAGTATTTCCTTTCAGCACTCTTAAACAATACAAAGAGTTTAACACTATGGATTAGTATTTTCATGCTTATGTGTACTTTAGAACAATTACCTCATGGGGTATATAATCAGGGGGCAATTTCTCAAGCATATCTTCAGCTAGTCTATACACAATAGCTTCTCGAGTTTCTCCTACTCCACCTCCACTTTCCTTTGGTTGAATATTGGTTATAGTGTTCAAGACATCAGCTGCTGTGTTACTCTGGTATCTGAAAGGAGTATTATAAGATATGTAATAAAGTCAGAACTTATAAGAATTATAAATTGTCAAATAAGATTACTATAAATAACCCACAATGAAAAGCCACTGACAATTCAATGGATTCCTGCTATTTCTTGCATTGTGGAAAAAAAGACAACAAATTCATTAAACTGAGGTTGATCAAACCATGATTGGCCATGACATTTGAATGTAACCAGAACATGGCTTTTATATATTTCTGGACTTTAAAACAGCCAAGGCCAACTAACAGCTCATAATAAGGAGCACAGTTTCAATTATTAGTGTTTTTTTTTAATCTTAACAGGCTTCTGTCATATCTTTTCCCTTACCATCTCCTCAAAGGAGGAACCTGGAAACTTTTATTTAGGCTAAGTTTCAGGTTTGAGCTTTTGAGGCTCTAAAGTGCTTTGGAATTTTTGAAAACAATTTGTTATTCTTGACCAGATTGTCTTCAAGATCTACAGCTATTAAACATGTGCTCTGTATATAAATTCAGCATTGCTTTGAAAATATTTTAAGTTGTAAAGCACAGGAAGGTATTACTGCTCCAAATAGGCTTTCAGGGTTTTAAATTCTAAAGCAGAAAAATTGAGGTAAAGAAAGGACCCGTGGAGAAAAATCTAAAGCTTTTGTAGATTCCCCAAACAGTTAGATACTAGTCTCTCAAACTAGAAATGTCATTTAAATTCTTCAGTATATTGTTCTTTAACTATGCATGGTGGATGGAATTCTCAACTCTTATAGCAAACTACTTTTTTAAAAAGCTGCTGCATCCTAGCATACTAAATGAGGTTGTTGAAAAACTGGTGAGGAATTAGCTATAGCGGATGCTTGAAACAACAGATTGTCTTTAAAAAAATGTATTATGCAATCCATCCAAAATTGTTCAGCAAGTGGTGGTCTTAAAACTTGATCAAAGAAGGTAACAAATAAATAAAATCTGTCTTCTTTTCAGCCATAGTTCCAGACCGATCAAGCAGTTCCAAGAGATGAAGCAACACAAGAGATTCCTAAGCATCTGCTGCACAAAGTTGCTCAATTTCGCTTGGAGTTGGATTCCAGTTGGGAAGATCCCTTAGAAGTGATCAAGGCACATCTATGCCCTGTTATCTGGGTGGACTTCAAAACAATTGATTCTGAAGAAGTGACTGTGAGCAAGCTGCTCAATTTCCTTCTGGGCAAAATTCAAGTTGCTTGAATTACCTTGAAAGCCTTGCATGGCACAGGACCAAGTTACTTCTGGGACTGCCTTTTCCCAAGGACATCTGCCTGTCATACCACATTAGTAAGGATGAGCATGTTCTTAAGGCCTTCCCTTAAAGGCTGCCATCTTATGGGACTTAGGAAGTATGCTGTTTCCCTCTTTCCCATGAATACCATTTCCTCTGAGCTTTCACAACCCTCCCCACTTTAACCTAAAAACAAGAACTGGCATTCCACTCAAATGCTAGGAGAGGGTGACAACTTGTGCACTGCATGGGAAAGTTTGGCTGTAGTTCCAGATCTTTTGGTTTTAATGTTTTTATTATAGATGAATATTGTTTCTTAGTTGTAAGTCACCCACAGTTTTGTTCAATATGGGCAGCTGTATAAAGGTTTTAAATAAATAAATAAAAACATAGGACTTTATCATTGACTGTCAATTACAATTCAACCTGAACCAAAATGCTTATGTCCTGATTATCACTCCTTTGGACTGTTGCAGTTTATATGGGATTATATTAAAAGATACCTTGGAAACTGCAACTGATACAGAAAGTGGTGGCGATGCTACTAACTGGAGAAATACACTGTTGTAAAATTCCACCTATTGTTTAGGTTAATGCACTATCTGATAATAGCTTTTTGTACCAAGTTCAAAGTGCTGGGCATTATCCATAAAACCTTATAGAGTGTATCAGGGATTGTTTTTGTAAGCATGATTTGATATCCAGTCTGGACACCTATTGAGAAACTGCCTCCCTTGAGAGAGCTATGGCTTGGGATGAAATGTCAGGCTTTCTTGGTAGTAGTTCCTATACCCTAGGATATTCTGCCTTTGGAGTAGCATAGAATATAGAATCATAGGGCTGGCAGGGACTTCAGAGGTTTTCTGGTTCAACCCTCTGCTCAAGGCAAGGAGCCTTGAAGGATAGTTGCCAAGTCTTTCCTTTGGTTTAAGACACAGCCTCAGGCCATACTACAGTGATGGTGCAACGGTTGTGTCATAGTTTTTTACTTTATGCCTTTTCTCTTCTTTCTGGGAGATGCCAGATATTCATGTTAATTTTAGAAAAAAACCAAGGAATTATTAATAAAAGACACTATTTCTGATGCACCCTGGATAATTGAGAAAGCAAATGCCAAAAAGAAGTCAATATGTGTTTCCTTGATTATAAGAAAATCTTTCAATGTGTTGATCGTATCATGCTGCTCAGAAAAAAGTGGGAAACCCAGAACATCTCATTGCCCTTATTATAAACTTATACACAGATCAGAAATTCACAGTATGATGGCAAAGTAGTGAGGCAAAACTCTATGCTCTCTTTGCATTTATTCAACCTGTACTGCAGAATATATATTAAGAAAAACTGGAACGGAAGAAGAGGAACAGGATTTTAAAACAGGAAAAAAACATGAAGAGCCTGATATTATTCTGATAACTTAAAATATGAATGATCTACAAATGCTTGTAATGAAAATCATGGAGCACAGTAAAAAAGAGGGACTAAATATAAACCAAGTGTTTGAACTTTGATAGTAATGCAACTGAGGTATTTTAGTTTATTTTTAACAATTCCTAAATATTAAGAATGAACATTCTGCAACTTATATAATTCATTACAGAATTAAATGAATTATAAGGAGAGAATTTTTGAAGCTAAAAATAAGAAATAACCTAGTAGGGGTAAAAATATGCTCATATACATTTTATTTCTATTTGAAACTGCTTATCAGCTGAAATTTTATTTTTAAACTAGAAGAGCTTGCTGAGAAATTCAAAATTATTACTTTCCTTCTAATTTGTTTAATTTATGTTCTGCTTATAGAAGTGTCAGCCAGATCATTTAATATAATCAGGTGGGACAAAAATACTGTTGAATTTTATGCTTGAACATTTGGGAAATGCTTTATGTTTATAACACAATCACACTAATTAAACTTTTCAATAGCTATACTTTACAGCACAATTTTGTGCATTTGACTTGAAAAGTAGGTCCCAGTGATTTCAACAGAGTTCAGTCCAGATATATGTGCATCAGCTTGAATCTTTAATCTTTAGGAAGTCAAGGAAAGCTTCCTTAAATTCTGCATTCATTCAGACTCTGAAATTCCCACTAAAATGGTCTTTGTTGCTAAATTATCTTTTTAAAAACCTGAATATCAACTTGTTAGATCTGCTTACGTTATGTCTGCATTAGGGTGGAGACCAAAGACTTCAGGACTATCCATGGCAGGGAGAGTTGAAATGTGGTCTTGATATTGCTCAAGAGTTTTGCAAACTGGGATTTTATATCCACTATAAAAACAGAAAGTGTTTTCAAACATCTTCTCACTGAACCAGACCTATATAAATTAATGGTGAAAAGTTAACAGTTATGCAATTCAAGTAGAAAAAAAGAAATTGGCTACTCATTAAAGCCAAACTACATCAAGACTGTTAACTGATTCATTAATGATTTGAGAATGTCTTTCTTAAACCAAAACCTATGAAAGAGACATATTCTTCAATCTAGCTACAAAGTCCTAATGCATTGATCTTAAGGGAAATGCAGCAACCAAAATGAACAAGCTTTAATTTTTCTAGCAATTGTGGTTCCAAGTTTTAGGAAACTTTTAGGCAAGGTAATCTAAAGGATCCACTTTCTTCTTGTTTCAGTTGTCCACTCATTTGACATTGGCCCAAACTTCCTTTAAGGAGAAGGGGTAGTAAAGAAAATTTGTCAGTTGTATAGAGAGCAGGTGAACCAGTGAAAAGAGCAGCGAAAGAACAGGGCCTGTAGGAAACCAAGGCTGGCATATGCCCCCTGTGACAGTAGGAGCTCTGTCAAATGTCCAGCAAAACCCTGTTTCCAGAAGATGTATTTCTTACAGTGAATGTGTTGAATGTGTTGAAAGTAAATTTTAAAAAAACATTCTTTAGTTTTATTTGACTAAAACTGTCTCATTTTATTTTCTTACCCTTGCAAAGCAGTTAAGAAGGCGCTTATCATAATCATCAGTAACTCTGCCTCCATACTGTACTTCTCCAATCATGTATCGGACTGTGCTCCAAGATATCCCCTAGGTAAAATGTGGGAAATGGAAAATAAAAAATATGTATCAAAAATTGAGTTCTTAGACATAGTATATAGTCCCTTGCGCCAGTTTGCACTCTGTTTATATGCAGGGATCTTGGTGTTTATCAAGGAGTGAGATTTGGATTTTCACCAAATGTTCTTTTCTTTTTGATATATTATATCTCCCAAATTTTCATCAATCCAGATAGCTGAAAATGGTTAACAAAAAAAATCATTTGCCAATTTGCTTGGGTATCCAGTTATATATTACAGTTTTAACTGCATGTATTTTAAATGTATTGTGGGAAATGCTGAATAGCTGTCTAAAATATAAATGATGTTTTCCTTGTTGTTTAAGCCATTGTTTAACATATGATCCATCTTATAATAGGTGCAGATATGCATACAAAAGACGGTGGCATACCGCATCATATACTGCTGTTTTGGCTTCAGTTTTCACTCTTTGGCAAGGCATATTCTTCTTCTTTCATTATACAATCCAGGAAAACTAAGAGCACGTAAGGGCTTTATGAAGCCAAAATGTTGTCTGTATAGCGCTGCCAGCAAAAGTAAACAAATGGGCATTGTTTTCACACTGAGCCCTTAAGTTAACGCTAGTTGTGCAGGTAAGTGCATTTGAATCCTAATAACAACAATATTGTGCGGATTACAGTACCATTGGGAGGCTAAAATCACTCTGTACAAGATTACCAGCTTGTTGCAATCTCTTGGCTCTTAGCAGGGCAGTGTGGGAGAATAGGATGCCTCTTACACACTCTAGATTGATACACTTATTCTTCTGAGAAAAGACTCAGCTTCAGAAGAAAGATATGTGTGCATTTGAATTTATATTATTATACCCAGCCAAGGAATGTTTCATTTTCTTACACAACGTGATCAGAAATACATCTCCTCTTTCCTTCATCTGTGTTTCTGCACTCTTTTAATGGTCCCTCACCATTGCCCAAAATATGCATTTTGATTCTGACGCCCATAAACATACTTCTGAAACATTAATCCCCCTGTCTAATTTAGCTGTGCAGTTTGGAAGTAGTGCCCTTTGGCTGGGCAATAGTCCTGCAATTCAAAGCACATTTCTCCTCATAATTAAACACTATATACCCTATATTTTAAAAAGCATGTTTGCATAGTTCAAATTCATGTTGTAAAAATGGAGAAAGATTTTGAAAATAAATGCACAAGTGATTTCACATGTAAGAATTTTGCCCACACTGAAGGATTATGGCTCTGCTTATGAAATGTTTAAATTAAGATATTTTTACAATACAAGGTAGCAGAAGAACAGTACTGATAGAGATGCAAGAGTGGCTTTTGATTTGCATTGCATTAGATTTGCTATGAAATTAGCTAAGCCAGTTCCGGTGAGAACAAGATCACTCTGCCAATTCTTAATTAAACTCGATCCTGCACACTCCTCCCTGATACCAGCTCCTGATACCGTCAGGAGATTTTTTTTCCCCTGCAGAAATTTTTCCACAATTCTTGTCACATAAAGCAGTTGTTTGAAATACAGGAGTGAAGGGCTAAACTTTTCATCCATATCATATTCATCTATTTTAGTAACGAAGCTGCATCTCCAGTGAACCTTAGAAACCTGTGAAATTTTTATCCCATTTGAGATACATAACTATTTGGCAGCATTTCTAAGTACAAACTTACTTTCTTAATGTCACATTCATCCAAATGATTCTGTATAAATTGAACACTGGCTGTGAAGTCTGCAGAATTGAATTCATAGGGAATATTCCAGCCCAAAGGACCAAATTTTCGTCTTTCCTTATTATAGAAAATAAATAACAAGTAGTAATTTATTTAGATGTATGAATGTATATGTATATTGCTTTTTCATTAATAATAATAATAATAATAATAATAATAATAATAATAATAATAATAATATTTTGTTTAGCAACTTCCAATATCCATATTAGAGCAATATCATTATTAATATTTCTCAGTATATAGCTTTTATACAAATATTGATTTTTTTTCATGAGCAAGGCAATCTTTTTTAAAAAAAATGCAAATACCATTACTGACATTCACATTAATATAGCAAACTATTTAATATAAAGATGGACATTTTCTTTCTGTGAATAGTTTATGCAGCATAATACATGTATATACAGCTGGAAATAATCCAAAATTCAGTGTACTATGACAAGTGAACCTCGTATAATTTCCCAAATTCTATTCATACAGTAAGACAAAGGGTTTTAATATTTTAAATTTAAATTTCTTCTTCAAAAGATACAAGAAATAATAGTATTAATATCATACTATTATTTAAGTGTTATTCTTGGTCAAAATATAAATAAGGAACAGGGAAATAGCAGGGCTATCAATACAGCTAGAAGAAATAAAATATTTAAGCTGTCACCAGGCTTTTAAATCCAAATAGACGAACATTTGGAATTGAGGGATGAATTTACAATATATGGCCTTCATTTGGCATGAGACATACAAAGCTTGTAGGCCTCAATAAGATACCAGAATGATTTATTGTAGTTCCTAGAGAAAATGTTCCTTTAGGCACAAAATGTGCTATTTGTCTGTAATACCTGAACTGTGGAGTGCAAGAAGGCCACTGTGTACAGAAGAGGTTTCCACATAGGCATATTGCTGACATCAAGCAAGTCTTGATTTATCCCAGAAAACGTTCTCTTCAAACCAGCTCGTACACCTTGTGGAGGTTCATTGGTGAATTTTATTGAAGTCTGGCATAACATGAAAAAGGGTTTATTATTTCTGATTCCAAAGGAGGCAAGCCACACTGTTTTGAAAACTAAAGGTCAGGGCACATCATTTAGAAAATGATGCTGTTTCATCAAGTCCACAAATATAACAAAATGTACTAGTTAGAATGTTTACCATAGCAACTGCAAGGGCACAGAAAGAGCAAATAAGGATATGTTCATGATAGGCATCACACAGATGCTGTGATTTACACACCTGCCTCAGATATTGGGGCATAGTACGTAATAGTGGCTTTTGCGTGATGACATCGTTGTGTGCATCTCAAGTAATATTTGCTGTTTTTGCAGTTTACTGCAAATGCTACTATGGGCTTATTGAGCACTCGAATGAAGGAAATGTGATCAAAAATAAAAGCACATGCACTTCATATATGTTTCTGCATTGTCTTACAAGGCTATAGCACTTAAATATCATCAAGATAATCTACCTCATCTCAGCATGTCAATTTAAAACCTTAAAATAGGCAATCACAAAACATTTAGAAACTTTCATTTTTTCCTCTTATTTCTATTAGTAGACATTTCTTCTTCCAATGCCTACATTTTCCCAGTGTTCAACTGTTTCATCCCAATCCAATAACTGTACAGAGTAAGGAAGATGACCTTGACAGAAATAAGCAGGGACCATTATTTAGGGAAAAGAGGCTGAAATATTTTTTTCAGTTCAGAACAATGCAATAATGTAATATTTGGAAATGATTAAGATAGACATCTCCCTAATTTACAGAGGTATATGTAAGGGGAGAGCAATCAAGGGTTGTTTTGTGAGATGCCTTTATGATATCCATTCTCAATAAAAGTAATTGTAGCCTTCATGTGGACTTGATTTTCTGCTCTTGTCTACCTAGTGTTGTTGAGTGTTCAGTCTTGGTATTGGTTTTTAATTACAACAATGACTTCTAGGATATGAGGAGCAATAATAAAGTTTCAGTATACTCAGTGTGTTTTTCACGCTAATTAAACTTTGATCTTGCAATTAGAAAGCCAGGTTTAGCCTCTGCCACTTTTGTTTTCAAACAAGTATATAGTCATGACTCATGGACTAAGAGGAAACATTTGATGATGGAAGTCTCCCTACATCATAAATCTTGTTAAAGAGTTGGATGACAGCCCCCTTGCCTCCCCCCAGCATTGACAAGAACATGGATGGCCACAGGAACAATGAGAAATCGGTAATCATTGCCTCCTCTCCCCTTGCCATGAGTAGCAATTTCTGCTAGACACTCAGCTTTGATTCAGACCGGAATACATTAATACATGTTGCCTATGTTCACTTTCATCTCTTTAATTGTCTAATACTTCTTATCATGAATACACAAACTACTCTGTTGCTACTTCAAAATAGCAATGATCTGCAATGAGTGAGTAGCCCAAGAGCACCAGACACTTCAGAGCTATAGAGTATATATTGCTTTCAAACGTATTGCACACCCACTTGGCAGATAACAGCCCCCATAAAGGAATAGAAAACAATTTGCTTTTCGAACCAGTCTAAATGCAAACTAGCTCAAATGACTTAAATGTTTAGCCTTTTCAGTTCCAAAGAAGGTAGTATTTTAGCTGGTATTTTTAATCAATAAACACTCCCATTTTCTTTAGATTTAGCTAACCTGCAGCAAAGTGATTGGAAATCGATCATGTGGTTCAGTGGTTATCCAAACTCGGAAGGTGTCATCGGGAATATCAGCAGTCAGCATTGTCTCCAAAAGTTCTTCCATAAATTCTAGACCTAGATGACAATTCTGAAGTAACACCCAGCCACCCTGTTCCCCAAACAGTTGATTAAACCATTTGTCTTGAGTATATCGCTATTGATTAATTACACTATATGAAGATTTTTCTAATGGAGATTTATCTTTCATATACCATACATACTTTGTTCTCCAATATGTGTTTGTTAATACTATTAAAAACAAGTATGCATTTGCATACAGATGAAAGGAGTATACTCCAATGGTAAATAAAGTAGCACTGCCACCTTGTGGTAGTTATAAAAAGTACAATAGGACAGCTATTGTCAATTAGGGGAAATGGTAATTTTTGGGGGTAATTACCAATGTAATAAATTTTATTTTCTGAAATCTGGACATAATTATTGAGCCATTTAGTTAAATGAAAGTTATTCTCAAATCAGTAAGTAAAGGTCTGTAGTCTTTCTCAAATACAAAATATTTTTGTTGGAAAAAAATTAAAACCGCACTAAAAAGAACATTGCATATTACCTGTACCATTGAGACCTGGATTAGTTTGCGTGCATGAACTTCTTGTCCCTGACCCATGGATATAGCTCTGTTTTCTACAAAAAAAGAAAACACAATAAAATTCTAATAAATGAACATATTCTTGCTTTTGCAATTGCAAACCATTTTTGAAAAGAGTAACGTAAGTTATTTTTATTTTCATTTTTTCAATTATGGATTTATTTATCTCAGTTGTAGAGTTATTATTTTGTTCCATATTAATACTGAATACTTATTTTATCTTTGCTTGTGCTAGTCTCACATTACCTTTAAAGCATGATAGCTTTCTGTTGCATTGTTTATTTAATGAAAAGTATAAAAAAGAATGGAAAATGAAATAAAGTATAATAAGAGCCTGCAGATATCGAGGTAGCTGTCCATAGAGACTTGAGTGCTTGTAGGCAAAGTATTAAGAAATTGGGCTTTATTTAGTGGAAGAAACTATTACAAAAGGTAGGATTCCTAAGAGATTCACTAGAAAGCTACTACAAAGCCAGATTTAATGGAGCAATTTTTTAGAATCCTTGTTTTAAAATGTAACATAAATATATACCCAATTTAAGTTTTCTAGCCAATGCATCAATTTGATTCGTTGGGTCAGATCCCATAGACAAGAAGCAAATGAGAGGTGTCCTTTTATCACTTTCTTCCCATGTTTTCTCTAAATTTAAGATGACAGGTTCTGTATACTTCTCACTCAAGGAATCTGCAATATACTTTCTGGCCTGAGAAAGTGTGCGGTCTGGGCACCACGACCTACAAAAAAGATATTCCTAAATTAGTGCTATATCATTATTATTTTAATTCATAATGATAATATTCATAGTATTATATTCACAATTATTTTAATGCTTTAAACATAACATTTTAGAAAATGAGTCTTTTCCAGTGCCAACATGCAGTACTTCCTGAAGAAAACTAAGAACATATAAAAAAGTAATGCCAAAATTACTTGTGATTTTTACCTGATAAGCAATAATTTGCGACAGGTATCTAGTGAATCACTATATCCATCAGGAATAGTTTCTTCCTCTGGAGCATCTTTATCAAACCAATTTTTCCATCCTTTCTCATTACGGGATATCTAATGAAGAACCAGAGGTAACATTTAAGCTTATTTTTCCTTTAAGGAATGGACAAGAAGTCTACACTTCATGTATGTTCTTTGAATTCAGGAAAGGTTACTTCGCATTGCATTTCAAAATATGATAGCATTTATTATGATTTCTGCATCCACCTACCTTAAGCCTGGCTAAAAATATATATGTGCAATTAAAATGCAGAACAATATAATGCCCTGGCATGAATGGCCGGGTCACAAGTGCTCATAAAAGAGAATAGGATTCTTTGCTAATGCTAAAAGAAGTAAAAACAACCAAGGCTATAAACATACCTGATTCATAATTTCTGAAAACTGGGGTAGTTTGCTCAGTTCTACTAGATTGAGCCATGTCATATCTAGAATCCAACGGAATGGTTTGGGAGGACAAGCTTTTAGATCCAGCGCAGCACCGCCTGGATGAAAAACATTGATAGTTATTGAAAATGACCCCTATGATTAACAAAGAACTATATCAAGCTTTAATATTTCATATTATTGTGAACTGCATATATCTTATGCTTGTTGCGGATTTGAACAATAACAAAAAATCAGCAATTTTTATCCCAAGTATCACATTGTTCCATCCACAGTTGTTTTTCCAGATTATCTCTTTTTGAGACAGAGAATCATGTTGCAATCCAAAAAAACATTCACCAGCAACTAGCCCACTGTGCCTGATGGGATGGACTTCTGAATAAAAATTTTTAGGGCTGCATCGAGCAATGAAGTTCTAAGAAAGCGTCTTAGCTAATTGAATTCAGCGGGATTGAATGCTAAATAAAAAGGTTTATGATCAAGTTGCATAGAACTTTGTTCTTCAATTCACATTGGTTGTAGCGTGGGATGTGTGCAATTGTCCTACGTCAATTAGAAAGTCAAAGTAAGATTACTATTTTTATTTTGTTTGTTTGTATCCTAACTTTATTATTTTTATAACTAGCACACTTTCCTCCTCCTATTTTTCCCACAAAAACAATTCTGCGAGGTGGGTTTTGCTAAGAGAGAGTGACTGGCCCAAAGTCACCCAGCTGGCTTTCATGGCTTAAGGTGGGACTTGAGCCACTGTCTTCCACCTAGAACTTTGTTAATCACGAGACAGAGGTGGGTTGCCAATTTCTTTACTACAGGTTTAGGCGTATCCTGACAGGTGGGCAGAGCCTAACCGCTACTACCAATTCAGCCAATCCGGGCTGAAGCGGCAGCAACCCACCTCTGCACTAGACCAAAGTGGCTCTCATAATGTCAGCCTTTCCATTGGAGTACTGAATCCTGGTCTCCCGTTTGACGAGAGATGCTTCCCACTATTCTGTCATGGAATGTACTGTCAAGAGTTTTGGAAGCATGACTATTATTATGAGATAAACTCAGGAATAAAACACAGCAGACAGCACACAACTCCTTTAAACAATTACTGGTGGTTTATATATACACACAGTATATACAGCCATACATGTGGTAGATAAATCTCTTACCACTCAGCTACGGACACAAGGAGAGAAATGAGATGCACGACAAGAGAGACGCCCTCTAATGGCCACCTATATATAAACACCTCTTAAGACGATAAAAGACCTGTGTGGACCCCACCAGATCTTAAACCTGCTATACCTGTATTGCTGATCATTGAACCTGTATTGCATCATCATTGAATCAGCTTAGAGTTTACAGCTTACAATCTTACATCAGCTGGCAGCTATTAAATTCTCATTACCCAATATGTACTGTGCACAGACCCAACAGATTATTTTCTCTGAGAACATGTAATGTTATGCAAAAGATAGAAAAATACTAAAAATAGTAAGGAAAATAAATTAAAGAAAGAGTAAAGAAAGGAAAAGAACTATAGCTACATGCAGTTTAAAATGAGACTGATAAAAGAGAATAGGTATAGTTCAGGGTTAAACCGTTGGGGTCCTTGGTGGTCTCTGAGCTTGGTTGTTTTCTTGCAGACATTTCGGCAAGTGCTGGTGATGTTACCTAGTTTGGTAATGCAATGTCTAAAACAAGACTATTTGACATACTATGTCTTCATATTTTCCCACTTCTGCAAAAAAAAAAAAAAAAAAACAAAAAAAAAAAAAAACCACTTTTGCTTCCACTATATCTAAACCACCCTTGTTCTCTATTTTTTTACTGCTCTTTCCAAATAATTCATCAGCTCCAATGAATCACAACTTTCTCAGTCTTTTCCTTCCTCTTGACCTATTTATTATTCAGATATTTTTAAGTTGATCTCCATTCATTGTTGTTATATTATTAAACCACATCCATTTATTTTGTTTCAAATTCAATACGTACTCACTCAGCAGCTGTTGATTTGTGATCTCATTTTCTCCAATTTTATTACATATAGTTCAGAAATACCTCATTTTACTTTGATGTTTCTACTGACCTCCCCAATGTACACCTTCATGTAATACAGTTGACCGAACCAGGCTCTTACACAATACCCTTTCCCCCTTTAACATTAATTCCTCACAATGGACATTATACTGCCCGTTAGCTTTTATCAGCAATGACACATCTGAATATTTCTCCATCTTGAGTAATCAGGATTCAAATACTTGTTTGACTTTTTCACCATTTATGTATTAATCATGACTTCTTTTTACTGTCAAGAACAACTACTTTTTTTCTTGATACATCAGTTTTCAGATCCATTATATTTTGAAGTCTAATCATGACTGCAAAATAAGTTCTCGGGTAATCACAAATTATTACCTATCCACAAAAGTACACATACTTTTTCCACATCTCCAGGCAACATATCTTTAATGCCACAAGTATCTTGATAAATTCATTTATACCGACATGCAGCCAACAAGGACATTGCCCATCTTCATTTTATTCATGCTGAATCATTTGCAAGCATTCCATATTCCCATACATTCTTTATTCTTTAACTCATCTAATTAAGTACTTAAACCTTCAATATATTCACGTAAAAATATTATAATACATTGTTCATGCATTTTTCTCTAAGCCAACAAAGTTTCTCATGTTTTTCTGTGATTTAATGAAGAGCAAAATCTTGTTCTGTGCAGTCCCTGCCAGGCGTAAAACCACCCTACGGATGTTGCTCATTGTCATCTCTTGTAAGCTGTCATTCAAAATGCTATCAAATACAGCTAATAAAACTAATCCTTCAGCCTTCCTTCTTACCTTTCTTTTTGTCTACAGGAACAATTACAACACTCTTCAAACTGTGCAAACTTCTCATGCAAGTTAAATAAGGTGCACAGCTATTTCTTAGGCAAACCGTGTCCATATTTAGTATTTTTCTATTTACACTATCTACAACTGCAGCCTACCATTTTCACAGTATTGCACATTAACATTCATAGCAGCTGTGTCAATTCCATTCTTTGATATCTCATCATGGTTCCCATAAAAACCTGAAATATTCCTTTTGGCATTCTCTCATTTCCTTTATTGGAATTTCATTCCAAGTCATTTAATCACTTTAATTTTTAATTCCATTCACTTTGAGGGAGCCTCTTCATTTAAGCTCTGTTCACCCATTTTCAAAACAATTTTTACATTCATCAAGTCACTTTGCATTTTTTCTGCCTCTTTTAATCTTGTTCTTTTGAGTAAATATTTTGCAATTCTATTTTTAATACACACATACAATATCTTTCTCTCATATTTATTTTTTTTGCAGCAACCATTCTCCTGCACAAATGTATACTTATCAATAATCTTGTCATCAGTCTAGTAAGTGTCCTTTTTAATAATTTCTACTAGAATAAATCAAAATTCTTCTATGGCAATCTTGAAGACATTTTTCCCCATTCTGTTCCATGCAGCCTTCCATATCATCTTTTCTTAGCACATTTCCACTTATTCTTTTGGGAGAGCGTTTTTCCCCAATATATTTTCATGCTAGACCTGCATTTTCTCCTTTTTTGTTCATTCTCCTTTTGTTCTAGTTTACATTCCCCCCCCCCATGTTCCCCCTTTTTCCACCTGAAAATCCACTTTTGAAGTTAAGAAATAGTGGGCCCTCTCATATTCAAAACTTAACAGCACCCTTGTTTCCTTTATCAATTTTCCCAATATTTCACAAGATAGAAATTACGTGGTTAATTTATTCATTGTCCATAAGTCATTTGAACTGATATATGCTTAAACAATGTATTTGAAAAGAATTTGGCTGGCAAACTCAGGAAACAGAACCAATTTGGGCATTCTTCCCTAGTAGGGAAGAATAACAGAATACTGTTAATGCTATTCAAGACTATTCTTTTGTTTAATTTATACCTTTGTCACCCCTGAGGAAGTGGACAAGGCCATGGGAGCGATGAGTGCCTCCACCTGTTTACTGGACCCATGCCCCTCCTGGCTGGTTTCGACCAGCAGAGAGGTGACACGAGGCTGGCTCCAGACAATTATCAACACATCTTTGCAGGAGGGGTTTTCTCTGCAACTATTAAAGGAAGCAGTGGTAAGACCCCTCCTCAAGAAGCCTTCCCTGGACCCAGCTATTTTGAAAAACTATCGTCCCATCTCCAACCTTCCTTTTTTAGGGAAGGTTGTTG